TTTTTCTGATGGTGCTCCCTAACAATTAAAAAATTTTAAGATTTTTGCAAATATTCGTTATCATGAAGAAGACTTTATCGACTGAATAGTATTTTTTTGCCGGCGCATAGCAAGGATCCATGTGACGAAATCGGTGATACGATAAAAAGAATGACTACTCGTGCAAACCTTTAACGCCAATTTGATCGTCAGATAACTACTCGTATTTCACATGAACTGTTCTATGGGTGTCAGATCCAATTAATTTGCCAAATATTGTAGTAAAGTTTTCTTTAATAGAGGAGAATATAACTTAGCACAGAAATATCTTGCGATTCGATTTGAAAGAGCTAAGTCCGTATCTGAGACTCAAAAAATTCATTGCATTATTTCTAAAAAAAATGGTACGTCTATTGTAAAAAAAATTATCAAACTTTTCAAATTATAAAACGTACAAAGGCGAGAAAAAAAAATGATCCAACGTCTGTTAATAAATATCATTACATATTCTAAAAAACATTATTATTTGAATAATATTCCTATAAATCCTCATTCCCTAAATAACTATGAAATCAAAAATACATTCTCCAGTATCGTTATGAAATATAAATGATTTATGTAACACATCAACAGCAAATTAATGATCTACTAATATTAAATAATAGATTTAATATTTTGAAAAATTAAAAAAAATGGAACAGAAATTTTGACCATAATCAAATACGGCTTGAAATGTCTGTATTTGTACTGAGAATTATTTTATTGGAGAATTACTTTACAAAAATTAAAAATGTCGATCTCGACGGAAATCGACTTTTTTACTTCAATCAGATTTTTCGAGTAGAAAAAAAACTTGAAGTTTTTTCTTTTTTTTTTCTAATAGAAGAATTCCTAGATAGAATAGAAAGAATTTCAACAGACAAACAATTTGGTGTGGTCATTTTTTGATTTTCAATAATTTAAACAAAAGTTATATTTATCTAAATATTTGCGAAATTAAATAAGTTGAAAATATTAATGAATTCATTTCGGAAACTAACAGATAAAAGTCTACAAAAATAGCCGTATACGTATTTTAATCCGAGGAATACATTAAAAAATTAGTAAAACATTGCAGAGGTCGGTGACAAAGGCTGTTCGATTTAGCGTGGAGTATCCCATATATATATATATATATATATATA